TTTAAAAAGAAAAAAAGTAAGATTCCAGAAATCCAGCAGAAGAACAGAACATTAAAATCAGTTAGAGAAAAGAGACAAATCACTGATAAAGGAAAACCCATTATTAGAATCACAGTAGACTTCTTGACACAATCCTTCAAGTCCAGGAGTGTTGGGAGCCGCCGACACCGGTCGCCTTACTTGGCGGACGTAGGGCCTGTGGGTGGGAGCGGAGCCTGAGCTAGATTGCCCCTCCCATCGAGTGAGTCAAGTTGGCGCCTGCTTCCTGCCCCCTGATTGCGCTGGCGACTTAAACAACCCGCTCTGTAAGATAGTCTGCCTAGCAACAACTGATGTTAGCCAATCAGCCCGCATCGGGTGCTTTGAACTGATTGGCCACTGTTACCCTATAAAAGTAAATGCCTCTCCCGCCATGAGAGGGAAGCACAGAGGAAGCACAGAGAGAGATAGAGAAAGTCCACCGGCGAGAAAGGGCTGGTGGCAGAGAGGAGGCCTCGCGGGGCCCATGTGGAGACAAATAAAGGCAAGGTTGCACACCGCCAGACTTTGTCGTGTGTCTTTCCTGCCGGCCGGGAGCGACCCCGACACAGGAGAGCTTGGAGTGAAGTTTTTTGTTGTTAGTTTGTTTTGGTACTGGGGATTGGACTCACAATCGCATACTTGAAAGGCAGGTGCTTATGCCGCTGAGCTAAATCCTCAGCCCTTGGAGTGAAGTATTTCAAGCCCCCAAAACATTTCAAGTGTTTTAAGTTTCCTTTACCACTTAAAATTACCTATTTAGGATTAAGCATGGTGGTACAAGTCTGTAATCCGAGCATTCAGGAGGCTGAGGCAGGAGGATCACTGGGAGTTTGAGGTCATCCTGGGCTACACAGTGAGTTCAAGGCCATCCTGAACTGCATAGTGAAACCCTGTTTCAAAAAGGCAAATAGATGCAGGTTTTTTTTTTTTTTTTGTCTTTTTCATTTTTATTGATACAGAGGATCCAACTCACGACCGCCTGCTTGCAAGACAGTTGCTTATGCCACTGAGCTAAATCCCCAGCCCCTAAAAAGGCAAATAGAATAAAATAAAATAACCTACTTAAGTGAAAAGGCAAACTACAAGAAATAATTATGAGTATCAGAATTTTAAATGAATACTAATTGTTTATGAGTTATTTTCCAGGAATGTAAATTCAACAAGTATTTCAAGAGGTGCAGACCCCAAGAGAGTTTCAAGATACTAGAGGTTTGATTGTAGTACTGGTTAGAAAGAGCCCCAGGACAAAGGGTTGGGCTTTCTGAGGGAAACTGGTGGTCCTGAGCCATTGTTCTAGGTAACACAGTGTTTGGAAAGGGCAGAGGACCAGACCTGGCTTGAGAAGGAAGAGTCACTGTCCCTGGAGAAAGTTTCTCCGGAATGTTGATCTTGGGAGTACCAGCTTTAAGCTTAATATAGAACACAATGTTTTAAACACATCATTAACCTGTAATTCATATAGAATAAAGTGCACATATTTTGACTATGTAGTGAACCCTTTCTTAAAAAACTAAATCAAACCAACAAAAAACCTGAACAGATTTTCATTGCATGCATATACTACAATTTACTTCATTTGCCTTTGGGTGGACTTTCAGATTGCTTCCAATATTTTTTAATTACAAATAAAGCTGTCACAAACAAAATGTGCACTTAAAAATTTTTTTTTGTACTGAGGATTGAACCCAGGTTCTTATGAATGAGAATACTCTACATTCATCTACAGCCCCAGACCTTAAAATTATTACTATTAAATGTAAGTTTTGTTAATGAATATTACAGGAGACTGAAAGGTCATGAAATGCTTGTTGCAATAGTAAATTTTTTACACTTGCACGAAGGAGTCCGCCATTCTTTGACCACTTGGAAGTATATGAGAGGGTTAGAGACATAGTTCTTTGGGATAGTGCTTGCCTAGCATACTCTAGGCCTTGGGTCCAACTCCCAGAACCTCAAAGAAAGAAAACAGAGATAGTATTAGTTCCAACACATATATCTATCAATCCTAAAGGTGCATCGAGGAAGGTGTCATATATAAAACACAGTTTATGTTTCTGAGTAGACATGGCACATTGGACACATGAATCTATTTTCCTTTCTTAAAAACTCATTAAAAGTTAAAAAAAAAAGATGTGACCACAAAGAAAAGGAGCACAGGAGAGTAACACTTTTTGGAAGGTAGGTAATCAGGCTGATGGCAAACTGTTCTGCATGGAAACATTTCTGGACCTGGGAATGGGTATGCTGCACACAGGCCACTGGGATGGGAGGGTGGACGAGGAGGTAGGACTGCCACCAGGCGGATGGACCCTGGCCACTGCTTCCCTTTGCTACCCTGCTGGGGTCTGCAGGGGTCAGTGCTCACTGAGTCTTTTTAAACATTTTTTATTATTTTGAAGGTAGTAAAATACAACAGAACAAGACAGAACAAAGCCAATTGAGACAGTGCAGTGAGGTTGGTACAGACTGTCACAGCAGGTTACCAGGATAATAGTAATAGGTACCACAGTATATCTCGTTATCTTCACAATAGTTGTTCTTTCAATCAGGTATAGCAAAATCAAACAATACTGAACATCATAAAACCTCTCAAAGCAGAGTAGTGAATAGAGCAACACAATTAATCAGAACAACGCAAAACAGTGATAACAATATCTGCCTTCAAACACATAGTAGAAGGAAATTCCCCATATTTGCTATATTGCACATGGTCAACCTCCCAAGAGATGCTCAGGTCTCTGGCTCCCATTTGTTATCGGCGGTGGGGTTGAGGGGTGGGATGGGATGTTTGATTCTCAGCCCTCACACTGGTAGGCTCACGGTTGCTTACCAGGGAGGTGAGTGGGTTGCTTTGTTTCCCAGCACCCTATGTCCCAACACAGATCTGGGGAGATGCTGGCTGGTTCTCTCCCTGGGGAGGCCGCAGCGTGCTGCTTATCAGGGAGGCGAGCCCACACAGAGTCCTGAATGCCGAGATCCTAGGTTTGCTGCTCACTTGGCTCTGAAACTCTGGCAGACCCTCAGCTTCTGGCTGGAGATTAGGGCCTGACTATCTTTCTGAGCAATCTGACCAGCTGAAGACAAAAGGCAGAGGTAGAGACTGGTTCCAAACAGACTGCCCTGCCCAAACACTCTTCACTGAATGCTAAAGTAGGTGTCTCACCTTCAGGTCCAAGTTTACACACATGGCAGCCAATCTCTCCACCACCAAGATCCCCTTTTTTCTTTTTTTTTCGTTTTTATTGGTACCGGGGATTGAACTCACGACTACCTGCTTGCAAGGCAGGCGCTTATGCTGCTGAGCTAAATCCCCAGTCCCGGTCCCTTCTTTTTTTTGGAGACTCAGTTTCACTATAATTCAGGCTGGCCTCAAATTCATATCAATCCCACTGCCTCAGTCTGTCAGGAGTGTTGGAATTACAGGCATGTGTGTGCCACCCTGCCTGCTTATGTTCTTTTGTTAAATTGAGACCATCCTCTCTCCCTCCTTTGATACTGGAATTCACTTTACCGAAAAGGACTTTAATAAATAAACTTGGTCTTTATGATTGCTTAGCATAATACATATAAACCAAACCAACAAACTTCAAGGTATTGTGAAAATTACAAGTTTACTGTGAGGACCAGTGAAACAGTACCTACAAAGGAGAAACTCTGGTATAACTTCAGTTTTTCCCTACAAATGTTCATCTTTAACATCTGTCAAATAGTTTAGACATCTGGCTTTTGTGCTTCAAGCCAATGGACCCAATGTGGGGCCAGAAGCCTTTCATCATTTCTCCACATGAAGACATTAAGGCACCAGCTCATCGCGGCTTCCAGCCAAGCCATGTCTTCTGGCATCTGGTGGCAGCAGCTGCCTTGAGCTGAGTTCCTCCCCATCCTCCCCCGACTGGAGGGGCTCTGGTCTCCTGAAGAAGAAACGGGGTTAAGAACTAAGTGACAAGCTAAGCATAGGCGCCCGCCTGTAATCCCAGCACTTGGGAGGTCGAAGCAGGAGGGTTGATGCAAGTTTGAGGCCAGCCTGGACTACAAAGTGTGTTCAAGCCCAGCCTGAACTGCAGAGCAAAACCTTGTCTCAAAAAAGAAAGGAAAGAAAGTACTAAACGACAATTGAAAAATTAATTTAAAATAAAAAGAGAATGTTCTAGCTTCCTCTTTGAAATCAGGTGCTGCCTAGAACTTTTTAGAGAGCTGTACACCTAATTTCTGTTATCCTTGCAGAGTTCTGTGCTCAACAGCAACACGCAAGGGGAGATTTCTTTCATCTTGCGGTTTTCTCTTTTTTCACTCTTGGGTTCGCTAATCCACAGCGTTCAACCTTTCTTGTTCCACCAGTCAGGATTTCTGACTTTTGCAGTAGCAGCGTGAAAACTAGGTAAGTGTTTAAAACAACATTTTTTTAATTTTTAATTTTTTGGTTTTTAAAGACAGGATCTCGCTATGAAGTTCAGGATGACCTTGAACTCACTAGGTAGCTCAGACTGGCCTCGAACTCGCAGACGCCGGGATCACAGTCGTCTGCCACCCTGCCTGGCATCAGTTAAATTTTTATACTCTCATTCATCCAAAAATATCAGGTTCTGAGTTGGGCTCACCAATGCCACTTCAGAGTCACTAACTCCGCGAAAAGGAGCCACTCAGTCGCAAGGAGGGATTCATGTGCCCTTGCCGCACAGGACTATGCATTGGTCAAGATTTTCATCCAAATAAACCCTAGTACATCGTGTTTGGCCAAGAAACGTGTGGCGAGCAGTCTTTTGATCCCAGGGGTTGGTGGGCGGAACGCCCTCTGCCGGTTCCTTCAAGGCATGATCCGCCCGCGGAACTCCCCGCCCACTTTGAGGTGTGACTGAGGTAGACCACGCCCCCAGGACCCGGCCCTGCAAGCCTCGGTGGTGGGCGTACTCACGGAGCACGCTCGGCAGCCAGCCTCTGATTGGTTGGTTAGGCGGAAGCTGGTTCAGCGAACCTGTGTATTTTTCCCAGGTTGCTCCGCGTTGCTGTCATGGCTCCCTCCTTTTGACAGTGTCCCCACATGGGGTTCTATCTTAGTGGTAACTGTCACCACTAGACCTCAGTGACTTTAGACTCTTCTGCTTTTACCTTTTGTTCACGTTCGTGTGGCCCTTGTAGGAACTTATTTTGTCTGCAACGATGTGCGGAGTGCTGTGGAGCCCGGAGCGGGCGGTCCTGAGGGGCTTCTGCACTGAGGCTGAGCGGCAGCAGTGGAAGCAGGAGGGAGTGTCTGGCTCAGGTGAGAGCAGCACCCTTTCAGGTCGGCGCGGGAGCTGGGGGGACGCGGGACGTCACTGCAGGATTCTTATCCCTCTCTGTTCCATCCCTTCTCCCCATTCCTTTCCCAAATCTAGGGTTTGGGTTGTTGAACCCTTGGCAAGGTGGGCATCATTTTCATGCTCCTTGCTTGTCTTCTCACTGCCCAGGTTTGAGAATAACAATGGCAATGACGGTTGCTTTTGTAAGTTCTTAACATTTACTCAATCCCTATGATGGTCATGTAAAGTAAATACTGTTAGTCGCATATTGTAGATTAAGATACCTACGTAGATTAATTTATTTAGGGTCACAGGCTAGTAAGCAGAAAAGGCTAAAACGCGGCAATAACGTAATTCTTGTGAGCTGTGCACATTTACCTGACTAGAAAATGTTAAACGATACATTTACTGGTGACATATAGGGACAGCTGCTTGTGGGATTAAAGCTGAACCCAGAAGAACGAATTAACAGTCTATACGCCGTGTGTGTGTAAACATAGGAGATGTCAGGAAGTTTGAATTCTGATGGTATAAAATCTGGTGGTATAGAAGAGTTTCATGGAAGGTCAGATTTATGCTCATTTCTGATTTAGAGTAAACTTGAGAAGAGTTGAGCAGGAAAAAATCACAAGTGCAGGAGGGTTGAAGCGTGGAGAATATTACTGAGACAGTGAAAGAACCAGCATGTTTGAGATGTCTTCCTAAGGGAGAACAGCAGGGGACGGAGGAGCAGGAGAGTGACAAGTCCTAGGATCCTGGCTAGACGTTGTTCTGTTGTTGGGGTAATAATGCCTATTATTGACATACACTATTTCTTGATGGGTCTGCTACCTTGCTCCTCATAGCCAGTATAAATGAACCTCTAATTCTAGGAACAGTGTTAGAATGAGAGGAATTTGCTCAATGCTTTGCAGTTAATGTACAGCAGGCATTTTAATTGCATACCACTTTTTGCATAGTACAGTGGTATTTACCTAGTAGGCTATCCTTCGCAGTATGAAAAATTGTAGTTTTGGATTACTGGACTAATTTTTTGTATTGCAGAGTGTGGATCGTTCTTACAGCTGCTGTTAGAAGGAAACTTTGAGGCTGTGTTCTTCCATTCAGTGACTCAAAATATTTTAAATTTATCAACAATGGCTGAAAAAAAGATTGACAGCTACCTGGAGAAGCAGTTCGTAGCATTCCTGGATTGCTCTGCAGATTTGGACAAAACTGAAAGGTAGAATTTAATTGAAAATTTCATAGAAAAACAAACTTGAATACATGTAATAGTACCTTGACTTTGCACTGTGCAGGAGAATTCTCTGTGATAATGGCAGTGTTTTCTTTTTTTTCCTTGCTTTGTTTTGTTTTTTGATGGCAGTGTTTTGAGTCTTCTTCTTTTTTCAGCCTGGTAACCACTGCCACTTGAAACATGGATGATGTGAGTAAGATTTGTAATTTAAATGTTACACAGTTTTATTTAACTTAAATTTGAGAACCAAATGTGGTGCATGGTTGTAATAGTGGACATTGCAGATATAAACTGTTGTTTCTTTTTTCAAAAATTTTTTTGTCTTTTTCTTTTTTTTTTATCGGTACCGGGAATTGAACTCACGGCTGCCTGCTTGCAAGGCAGGTGCTTATGCCGCTGAGCTAAATCCCCAGCCCCTAAATTGTTGTTTCTAAATAATTGTTTTTGGGTTGTGCTCTAGGATTGTGTATATAAATTTGTTTTTGAGACAGTGGTTTGTCTATGTAGTTCAGTCTGCCATTGAACTTAACCATGGTAACCCAGACAGGCCTCAGATTCACAGTGGTCCTCCTGCCTCAGCCTCCTGAGTTCTGGGGTTACAGACATGTGCCAACACTCCTGGCTAATTTTGTTTGATAGCTTTTCTGAACCACTTACCAGCCCAATTATTTAAATACAAGTGGACCAAAAATTGCGTATTTTTCATTAATTTTTATAAGATAATATAACTGAGTATAAAAATGGCAATTTTATTCAATAATTTTTTTGTGGGCTTGGGATTTAGCTCAGTGGCATAGCACCTGCCTGGCAAGCGTAAGGTTGTGAGTTTGATCCCCAATATCAAAAACAATTTTTTGTGTATGCTTTATCTTAAATCATTCAGTACCTATCTAAGCACTGCTTGGATAGTCAGTACGTAAACAAACCTGCTGCTTGAATGACACTTGGGAGTAAACTGCTAAGTGCTTAAATCTGCAGTGAATTAGTTTGTTGAGATAGTGTGGTGGTAGTTAATATCTGTTTCTTTTCCCATTCTTATATGTAGACAACAGCTGATATTCCTGCTTGGTGTGAGCAGTCTGCAGCTTTTTGTTCAGAGCAACTGGACGGGGCCTCTTGTAGACCTGGACCCTCAGGATTTTTTGCCATCTGTTCTGTTGCAGCAATTTAGTGAGGTATGCTTCTTGAAAAATGTGTCCTGCAGTGATTGTTTGTCTTTATAAACAGATGTTTATAAGTTGTAGTTAATAGTAGGCAAGAAAGTGGCATGACTTTGTGGCTGGCATAAAACTAGCAAGAATGCTTATTCGCTGATTGGGCTTTTTAATTTTAAAGAGAAAAAAATTTTTTTTTTTGGTACTAGGGATTGAACTCATGGCCTTGAGCTTGCCAGGCAGGTGCTTATGCCACTGAGCTCACTCCCCAGCCCAGAGGAAAAAATTTTTAAAAATTTCAAAACAAGATAATTAGAGGGTAACTAGTTAATACATTGTATATTGTTATCTTTAAATTCATAACTTATAGTAAAAGATATCTGTGTTTAATTGTCCAAAAAATATTAACATAAACATTTCTTTTCAGTGAACCAGAAGAAATTAGTAGTATCATATCTATATGTGTGTATGTGTATTATTTCAACTTCTTACACTAGGGAGACAATACAATGTTTACACATTCTAGTCTGATTATGAGTATGGTCTTTTTTTTTTTTTTTGTCTTTTTCCTTTTTACCGGTACCAGGGATCGAACTCACAACTGCCTGCTTTCAAGGCAGACGCTTATGCCGCTGAGCTAAACCCCCAGCCCCATGAGTATGGTCTTGAGTTGTATCCATTTACCTATCAAAGTCTGAAGTTTATCCTATAGGGCTGAGTAGTATTCCATTGTATAAAAATATATTTTTTTATGTTGATTGGAGTTTTAATCCACTGTCAATCTCAAACTCCTCCTAAGTCATTCCTATTTTATTGAGCTCTGTTAGCAACTCTTTTTTATTATTTATTTATTTATTTGTTTACTTACTGGGGCAGTGTCCGCTTTATAGGGGAGGCTGGCCTTGAACTCACTGTGATCCTCCTGCTTCAGCCTCTCAAGTTCTGGGATTATAGGCATGCACCATCGTGCCTGGCTTAATTTTTTATTTTGAGACAGAATTTTGCTGAGTTTCTGTGGTCCCCCAAGCTGGGCTTGAGCTGGGAATCCTCTTAACTCAGCCTCCCAGGGTGGTGTACCCTACAGGAGTGTGCTACCGTTCCTCTTCTTATTTTTTATTGCCATGCAGGGGATTGTACCTAGGGCTGCAGATATGCTAATAATCAAATGCTCTACCAATGAGCTACATTCCATCCTTTACCTGTGTTCTAACTGCAAGAAGATCAGGAAATTCTGCCTCTGATTACTTCCCCTCGCCCCTGCTCTCATGCTCCACTCTTAGGAATTTTGTGCTAGTTAGTTCTATTCCTTTTCTTTATAATTTCAATTCATGTTTCACTGGAAAACATGTTACTTAGTGTAAACAGTTTTATATATTTTTTTCTTATTTCTTTTGTTCATGATACTTTTTGAATCATAACATCGTCCATTTTTTCTGTTGCATCATATTATAGTCTTGAGTATACCAGGATTGATGTATCTGTCCTACTCTTGATTGGCATATGTGCTGTTTGTACTTTTTGCTATTTACAGTACTTTTAGGAACATCTTCCGGAAATCACTTACAGGTCTTTGAAAGTGTAGTGTTCTTAAAAAATGATACTATTGGGGCTGGGGATTTAGCTCAGTAGCACACATACCCACCTGGCAAGCACAAGGTCGTGAGTTCTATCCCTGGCTCCAAAAAAAAAAGCAGTATTCTTTTGATACTATTCTTTTGTGTCCTGAATGGGTGCAAACTGTTTTTACTGTCGCCTGGGCTATACTTGGCTACCTTGAAGGTTGAAGGAAGTACTATTTCAACAAACCTATAAATCCTTACAGACTGAATTGGAAGTTCTGTGTTAGGCCAGTTGGACTACTCTAATCCAGTCTCATAAACTGGGCATCTTACAGACAATAGAGAGTGCACTGTCCAGATACCAGCAGGGTGTGTCTGGTAACGGCCCACTTTCTCATAGCCAGCCTCTCTGGCTGTGCTCACGTGGAGGGAGGGGCTCATGAGCTCCCTGGAGTTTCTTTCAGAAGAACACTAATCACAGTCATGTGGGGTCTATGTTTGTGACATACGCACCTGCCGGAGGTCTGATCTAACAGCAGCACCTTGATGATGGAGGTGTGTGCACCTCAGTGTTGGGGCACATTGGCCTCTGTGCTGTCTCCCCATCGTAGTCATAGCTGTGAGTACATGGATGGTGAGTGTCTGTTGGAAGTGCTAGGTTATTTGTCAAGAAGGTTTTGCAGTTTATACTCTTTACTAATAACCTAGGATTGTATTATTTATGTATTGAAAGACAGGGAGTTGAAGTTTTAAAACTGGCAAATAGCACATCTTATTTTCTTATGGTAATTTTTTTTTCTGATTTGTTTTTTTTAGTTCTTGTAATGCATTAATATGTCATGGTCATGGAGTATAGTCATCAAAGCAAAATTAACTTTTCCTGCTTCTAGTTTATGTACTTATGTATAACCTTGGAATTTATTAAGGTATTTTCTGACCACTGGTGCAAACCAGCCCCAGAGGAATAGCTGCAGAGGAATATGTACAGTATCTGACTGTGTGTCACCACTCACACATAAAGGCTAATCTCACAGTAGTCAGGTTTTATATTAAGTTTGTTTCAGGCTTCCAGGTGTTGAATTATTTTCCCTATTGTGCAGATGAATATGTATATTTATATGTCATTTGTTCTCTTGACTGAAGGAGTTACTAACTTTTGCTTTGTCCATTTTATTGAAAATATAGCTGGGTGTGGTGGTGCACACCTGTAATCCTAGCATTTGGGAGGCTGACCAGGGCTACATAGTGAGTTCAAGGTCAGCCTGAGACCCTGTCAAGAAAAACAGAAAAGAAACACACACACACACACACACACACACACCTTCTTTAAAATGAAACATTTCGACAACCTCTGGAAGGACATTTAGAACTTAACGTGGACTCTCACTGTTATATTGTCAGTGTCAGAGGTGCATAGACAAGTACTTAATTTTTCCATGATGGATAGCACTAGGAAGAGAGCTTTATTTGGTCATTCATTTGTCCCTGTGTTTATTATTTGCCTTATTTGTTAATACTGTTCTCAGAGGGCTTCGAGTTGAACCATAGGAGGTTTGTCCTATCTTTGTGTATCAGAGGTGATGTTAGCATAGGCTCTGCTCTTGTGTAATTTTTATGTGCTGGCCTATTAAATTGCTTATTTTTAAATTTATATTTTAATAAAAAGATAGTATTCTGATATTTGTGCTAAAACAGATAGACACATTTATCTCAGAGTAACTAGAATGAAGATTCTTTTCTTTTAACCCACGCTGTGCATCTTTTTGTGCACCGGTTTGGCTTGGATTTTAGGAATTAAAGATGTCTACCTCAATTACAGGGTGACTTGACGAAGGTCCAGTAGGGCACATGAGGTTGATCTGTCTCTTGAGCTTTCAGTTTTCACTTGTGTGTGCTGTTCCTCCAGATGGAGTTCTGCAGGATACTTCAGAGTCATCCCGTCTTTGACGGAACTCATGGTGAAGTTCTCCTGCAGTTGGGTCTTCGCACGTGTGCGCCGCGTTGCTCACACCAGCACAGTGTACTTGTGTACCAGTCAGAAAGATAGAAGTTGTCCCGGTCTGTCGGTGAGGCCTTCCAAATGCCGCACAGCCCTGGGCTTGCTGAGGATTAGGAGGAGGAGAGAGAGATGTGGGGAGGGCAGTGGCGGGTGGAAGGAAGAAAGCTGTTAGAGGGTAGGTGTCTGAAAACCTGGCCGTGGCCTGATTTTTTTGTGATCTAGAGTCTTGCTTATGTTATTCCTGCTGGCTTCAGACTCCTGGGTTTAAGAGATCCTCCCACGTCAACCTCCACAGTAGCACAGATTACAGACATGTGCTCCCACAACTACCTTAACTTTCACAGATCTATTTTCTTCTAAAATGGAAGCAGTTGTAATAACTTTAGAACTGTTCCTTAATTTGAGAGAGGGAGAGAGAGAGAATGTGTGCTGTTTATGTGTAATGCCTTTTTTTGTTTTGTTTTGTTTTGGTTTTTTGAGACAGAGTCTTACCATGCATTTCTGACTGGCCTTGAACTCATTATGCAGTCCAGGCTGGCCTCAAACTCATGCCATCCTCTTGCTTCAGCCTCTCATGTGCTGGGATTATAGGCATGTACCATTGTACCTCACTGTATTTCATGCTTTCTACCCCCAGAGAGAACAGTGTGCTTTATTTGTTTTGTGGCCTGGGTGCATTCATGTTAAGTACTGTCTATTAACTCCTCTCACTGATGATGAAAATAGCACAAAAGATATAAGCACAGCTATGTCTTTCTTGCTTTTATTGAATTCTTTAAACCATACTTAAGATACTCAGTATTGAAAATAAATTACTGAGCTAGCAACTGACATTTCTTAGATCAGAAGAATGGTATGGCATATAGATTCAGTTATTTCAGTTTATAATTGATGAAAATGAGTTGAAAAATTGACTTAAACTCACAAACTAGTATAATGCACAGCAAGTCTTTTGTCTGTACCGTTAGCACTCACTTTCCTACTGGAGAAGCCTTTCTGCTGACGGTTGCAGCAGCTGTTAAAGCTCTGCAGTTCACTTTTTATTAACACAAGTGCTTTGGCCTTATACAAAATCTCTTCATCAGAGAAGATTTTTAAAAAACATCATTCATTGCTTCATTTATTTTTGTGGTATTGGGGAAAGAACTTAGAGATACTATTGTTTTGTAACAGTGCCTTGCTAAATTGCCCATGTCTTGGTTATTTTTCTCTAGTAGCTGAGACAAAATACCTCACACCCCAAGTTAGGGAAAGAAAGGTTTGTTTCTTACAGTTTTGAGGTTTCAGTCCATACTCAGCTGGTTCCAAGGCAGGGTGGAGTCGGTAAGGGGCGGCTGTTCAAGACAGCTGCAAACAGCAAGCAGGAACAGCAAAAGAGAAAGACACACCTTCTTCCCCGCCATTAGTTTATATGTTGGCTCCATCCCTGGATGGGTGTAGCCCTCACACCACCAATCTGAGCGCTAGACAGTGAACCAATCACAAATGCTAGAGTTAGCCATGTCTGTGATTATATGAGACTTGGGAGGAGGGGGCACTGACATAAACATGACATTCCGCGGTGACCTCAAACTTACAAGCCTCCTGACTCAGTCACCTGCGTAGCTGGGTTTCAGTTGTGTACCACCATGTGTGACCCAGAACATCCACCTGTTTACTTGGCCTTCTCAGCATTTGATGTATACGATCTCCTTGATGGTTAGGCTTGTGGAGTGAGACAGGCTTTGTTTGCCAACTAGTGAAACATAAGCAAAATATAGGTGTTTTGTTTCATACAGGGGTGCTTTTTATTGAGATGATATTTGTAGATATATCTATTAAGTGATGACGCTTCTTCAGTGCTAGCATTTTCTTGAGTTTCCTGTTTTCTTTTTTTAATTTAATTTAAAAAAATTTTTTTGAGATAGGGCCTTGCAGTATTACTCAGTTTGGTTGTGAACTCCTGGGTTCAAGAGATCTTATTGCCTCAGCCTCCTTAGCAGTTAGGTCTACTCATGCATACTGCCCCGGGCTGATTTGGAACATTTTTTTCTTTTTTGTTTTGTTCCCTGTTTCTCTTAAGTGTGAGCTCATGGGTGACCATCATAAGGGTGGGCTAGACTTGTAAAAGAATTTGCAGTATTGCTGCATAATACATTAATGACCTTATCTCATCGCTGAATTAACTAGAAAATCTGTGTATTGGTGTAAGACCTGAACATAGAAGTTATGTCATCTCAACTTACAAACTTTTTTTCAGGTCAAAGAACTGGACGTGGCTGTTCTAAGCCTGCTCGTTCTAGATGGTGAATCAATCTACAGTCTGACCACAAAACCTGTCCTGCTACTGATTGCGCGCATTATCCTGGTGAATATAAGACATAAACTGACAGCTATTCAGGTAAGGGAAAAAAGGATCTGTGAGTGTCTTACTAGCATTGAAATTCTGTGAGTGATAAGACTACTGTGACTTTTGAATCCTGATACACTATTAACAGTGTCCTCTGCCTTTCTTTTTTAGGCTATTTTTCCCTTTCCCCTTTCCCCTTCTCAGGATGCTTTGTATGTTTTGGGTCCCATTAGCCCCTTTAGCTTTTAGATTAGGGGTCCAGGCTTTTGTCTATCTGAGTGTTGCTGAACCTTTTTACCCCTGAGCTTGATCTTGAGCTGTACTCCTTTACTTACTAAAGTCATAGAATTTTTCCTTCCTTCCGGCTGTGTAGTTCTACACTGCCCAAAAGTGTCATAGCTTTCCAGTCTATCTGCGGCTGCTGGATAAGTTGTCTCTATTTCTCTCTGGTTTCTTGCCACATATAGCTTTGCTTTGTCATCTTTGACTTTCAGTTTATTAATTCTATTTTGGGTTGAGTGTATTTCCTATTCAGAGCATCTCGATAGAGCCTGTCTCCTAATCTACTTTGCCTGTTTTTTTTTTTTTTATTTTAGTGTATCAAGGCTATCTGTATTAAAGATTATAGCTTACCATGTCTACCTCATGTCTGCTATTCTATTTTACTGCTATAATTTGTCCACTTTATTCCTTCATTCCACTGTCTGCCCCATTCATTGAGGCCTGTCTGCCACTGTTGCTGGAATCCTGGTATCCTTTCATCTTTCTCTCTGGAATGTCCTTCAGCACTCTCTGTAGGGTTGGGTTGGTGGCCATGAACTCCCACAGTTCCTCCTTGTCTTGGAAACGTTTTATTTCTCCATTAATTTTGAGAGAGAGTTTTTCTGGGTACATCAGTCTTGGTTGCAAATTATTTTCTTTCAGGGCTTGGACTATTTCCCCCTAGGTTCTTCTCAATTTGAGAGTTTGTGTTGATAAGTCTGTTGTTATTTTGATAATTTTCCCATTGTAGGTAATCTGCTTCTTTTCCCTGGCTGCTTTTAGTATTCTGTTCTTTTGGTGGATTTCTGGAATCTTGATTATTATATGTCTGGGTGTAGATCTGTTTTGGTTGTAGGTGGCTGAAGTTCTTTATGCCTCATATATCTGGGTATCATTTCTTTTTCCTATGCTTGGGAAGTTTTCCTTCATTATATCTGTGAATAGTCTTTGTAGTTCAATTTTGGTTACTCCTGCTTCTTCGCTCATGTGCTTTATCGTCTTCTAACCTTTGAATTATTTCTTTCTGGTTCCTTGTTATTTTTAAGAGGTCTTTTCTTTCACAATCATAAATCATAAATCTCTCTTCAAGTTTCAAAAGGCTAACTTTAGTTTCTGTCAAGGCATTTTGCCAGTTTTCAGTGGAGTTTTTAGTTTCCTGGTAATCTCTTTGGATCTGTTTCATGTATTCTAGGTTATGTTTAAATTCTTCATCAAAGGTTTCTCTTTTCTGATTTCCTCCATTCTTCCATCTGTATTCTCTTGGGAGGGGCTTACCATTTCTTTAATTAATCTTTTTATATCTTGCCTCACTTGGATCAGAAGTACAGTTTTAAATTTGTCTATGAGGTCATGAAGGTATTTCTTTATGTCCTCTGATGCTGTGTCTAGTATTGGATGGTTATTGCTCTGGTTTTCTTCTGTATTTACTTCTCCTGGGCTTATTTTCCCAGGTTTGGCAGCTGGAGATTTTTTTTTTTTTTTTTTTATTTCTATCTCTTGTCATGTTTCTGGTTTCTTTCAGACTGGTGTGTCCTGGGAGTCTCTGGCTCTCTCCATATTGCTTAGGGACTTTCCAAAGCATGCTGACTGGGGTTTTGCTGCCCTCCCCAATTTGCTGTTATCTGAGGTACACGCAGGGATGCAGGGACGGTACAGGCTAGCCTCGAGCCTCTGAGCCAGTGAATCTGCAAGCTAGGTTGTACCTTGTGGACGTCACAGAGTTGCGACAATTTTGTACCTGCTTATTGGGTCCCAACCAGAGGTCCCAGCAGACCCTGGCAGTTCTCTTTGTGCCAGGGGCGGCTGACTGACGTCACCATGGCGCTGGGCTCTGCCCAACTCCAAGATGCCCTCCACCAGTCCTCTCTGCGCCAAGGGTGACTATCTGACATCACCGTGGCGCTGGGCTCTGACCAATTCCAAGATGTCCTCCAGCCAGTGATAGCAGCCATGGGGCGCAATCCCTAGCACTCACTGGAAATCAATGCAGGTCTTCCTCTTGGGTCCACTGCACACTGCGCTGCGTGTCTTCACTGTCAGAAAACTGCGCAGTGCCCAGCTTTGGAGCCCGGGTGTATGGTCCTCTTGCAGTCTCCTCCAGCACTGCCAGGTGACTCTGGCTATTTTGCAGGGCCCCAGGTCCTAATTTCCAGCACTCACCGAGAGCCAATATAGCTCTCCCTCTTGGATCCACAGTTTACTTTGCCATGTCCTCCCGTTAAGGGTCCGGGATTCTGTTATTGGCAGCTGCGGTCTCAGCGTGACTTTAGATCCTCTGGGCTCACCTGGAGCACAGAAGGGTCTCAGTGAGCTTGTCAGGTTTCAGCTCTCCACTTGCACTTTTCCTTTCTCTTCCTAGTTTTACTTTTCCCTTTGGTTACCGCCTTGGTTAATAAGAATCTTTATCTAATCATCTGGCCCTCTCCATGTTGTCATATTTTAGCATCTGATCTGATTTCTCCACAGAGACTCTCCATCTAGCCCCTTAGCAGGCCGCCATTTTTTCTCCTCCCCAGTGGTTTCCACTAGAAAGGTTTTTAATAGGTGATTTCAGTATGTTTCAGCAGCTATGAAACTTACCTTTGGAATCTTTGTGATAATAGCTTGAATTAATTTTTTCCCGAGTTGATCTAAGTTTAGTGGTTATATTATATAGTCTTACTGTGTCTAAAGAAAGTATCACCGGAGCTGGGGATTTAGCTCAGCGGCATAAGCGCCTGCCTCGCAAGCAGGCAGTCGTGAGTTCGATCCCTGGTATCGATAAAAACGAAAAAGACAAAAAAAAAAAAAAAAAAAGAAAGTATCACCAAGGCGTGAGACTGGAAAATGGCATTTTGTTTCTAATTAAATTGTAGTCACTGTGAGTGAGACACTTCTAGGCTTTGTAAGTTCAAAGCTTTCATCATCAATATGTTGAGATCATTTGGAAAATAAAACATGTAACCATCAACAACTTAGAATTAGTAAATTTGTGAACTGGAGGTGGGTGCTGTACTTGTAGGCTCCCAGACGCAAGTGACCTTAATTTCTTGGCAGATGCTGAACAGTGTTTGTCTTCTGCTTACAAACCCTGTTTCCATCACTATACTGGCATGATTTGGACTGAAATCTTACCTTTTAACCGAAACATTCTTTCTGTTACAAATTTTTTCCTTTGGGTCTTTACTGTATCATTCTTTTAATAGTGCTATTTAAAGTGACTTCTTTAGTTGAGTGGTGGCACACATGTGTAATCCTAGCACTCAGAAGGCTTAGGCAGGAGGAGCACCTCAAGTTTGAGGCCAGCCTGGGCTACATAGTGATCCTAAGGATAGCTTAGGACAAGGACTGGATAGTGAGATCCTGTCTCGGAAAAACCCCCAAAAAACAAAAAAAGAGACTTCTTTGACAAATGAGGCATTGTATACTTATCCAAGTTATTTTTACCCTTTGAATAATATTATTGTTACTGTTTGTGGTGCTTGGGATTGAACCCAGGACCTGGAACATGCCAAGCAAACCCTCCCCAACTTGTATATTAATTTGAGTGGTCTGAGTCCTAAGAAGCGGATCTTGTTTATTACACAATATGATATTATTTTTGAGGAGTAGTATACAAGGTTCTGCTCTCTCACTCCATAATTTGTGTACTACTATTAATGTATTCATGTTGAATAAAAAGCATCTTGGCTTTGAAAGCAGACCATAGTTCTGTAAGCCAGCTCACAGCTGTGTGACTTTGTGAGTCAATTTCTCCAGATTTCAGTTTCCTTGTGTATAACACTGAATGGGTGCTGCACCCTTATTGCTTAAGTGTGCTGTAGCTCCCTGCCATTTAAGAGCTTCTTGAGTGCGACTTCTCCACCAGTCCATTCTGTAATAAGTACTGTAAGCAGAACATAGCAATCCAAAAGTTGTCCATAAAGTATGGTTTCAACTTTTCTTATATTCTTTTTTTTCTTTGTCTTTTTGAAATAGGGTTTCATTATGCTTTCCAGGCTAGCCTTGAACTCACTTTGTAGCCCAAGCCAACCTTGAACTCTTGCAGTCCTCTTGCCTCAGCCTCCTGAATGCTATAATTACAGGTGTGTGTCACCATACCCAATAAGTTTTCTTTTTCCTTTTTTTACTTAGTGCCTTAGTTTTTCTTTTATTCAATTCTTAGCAAATAGGAAAAGACCCTGTGTTTTCTACCATAAGAACACGTTATGCTTTCTATTTTTATTTCACTTGCTCCTCCCCCATATAAGGATTTTGGTTTAGCACTTAAAATGTATAGACCTTCTTTTTTTTTTTATTTTAAAGAGAATAAAAACAGGCAATATAAGTCAAACAAAGCCAATCATAACAAACCAGTATAAGTGACACAGGACTTCAAATTAGTACAAAATCAACAATGGTTACCATAATGCCTTTTGTTGTCTTCAAAACAGATGTAGATACCTTCAGACATATTTGAGATCAAACAAAACAGAACAGAGTAGAACCAGTAAAAACAAAACAATGAATGCAATAAAGGACTTCAAAATAAGATAATAGTAAATCCAAAATAGCTACCATAATATATCATGCTGCCCATGCCACTGGATATAATAAGATCAAACACAAAACAGAATAAAACCCAACCCAACAAAACAATGGAAATGGTACAGGACTTCAAAACAAGATAATGGAGAGTTTACAATGGCTACCACCTTCAAAGGAGATCCCCCATAGAAGCCACACTGCATACTGTGATCCTCTGAATAGATGATCAGACCACTGGCCCTAGACCTGCAAAGTCAGTGAAACAAGCATCAAATTGTATTTCACCTCAATAACTATGGTTGCAGCCTATGTTTCTCCGGATCAGCCAGTTCCTTACAGTGGGGGTGGGAGTGGGGGTAGGTGCAGTTTTGGCTCTCCTTGTTTCTCGGTCTATGCGCTGGTAGGGGCTGAAGTGTGGTTGCTCTCTGGTGGCAGCAGCCCATGCATGGCACTGGTTCACAGAGAGAGGCTTCTTGTTGATTTCCTGTTCTCTTCCCCTGCAGTCTATGAAGGCACTGACTCACAGGAAAAGGCTAGAGTCTGCTAGGCTTTCTTTTTAAGAGTTCAGCAGCTTGTGCAATGTTTTTTTTTTATTTTGGGGGTACTAGGAATTGAACTCGGCATTTTGTACTTGCCGGGCAGATACCGTGTTGCTGAGCTGTATCCCCAGCCCAGCTCAATATGTTTTCTTTCTTTTTTTTTTTTTTTTCTATTTAAGGAGAAAAAGGAAAAAAGCAGAAAAAGGGTACAAGTTATACAGAATTTCAGAAAAAAATAAACAGTAGGAAATCACTAGTTAATGGATTACATATTGTCATCTTAGAAATATTTGTTCAAATTACAAGATTAAAGCATATAAAGTGGACATTCAAACAGCGAGACTGCAAACAGTTCTGTTCAATGATCCAACAAAACTCAGTAATACCGTTGTCTGTCTTATACACTTAAATTTACATGCAGTTATACTATTTAGAGCACTTTCTTTTCCTCTCTTTTGTACAATGACTATTACACTTTTTGCGTTTTATTGCTCCTACAGTTCTTATTGCTTTTTTTTTGGAAGAGAGTAAAACCAAATGTGACTTAACAGAACAGAATCGGTTAAATCAAAAGGGTGGACATAATAGATAATGTAAAAACCTAATACAAGGTGGTCAACAATGGTTACCATAATGCCTCCCGCTATTTCAAATAGAATTGCCTATATCATCAGTTATAGTAAAATTGAACAAAACAGTAAAGAATGAAACCAACAAAACCAAAACTTTGGAGACTTTACAGGTCTTCAAAAGTAGATAATAGTCAACCAGAATGGGCGTCATAATGAATCCCACTATCTTCACAGCTGTTGCCTAAACTTTTGAACCTGGGACTATCAAGCAAAGCAGAATAGAGGAACATCAGTCAAAACAAGATGGTGAGAGCAATACAGGGCTTCAAATCAAGTTAATAGTATATCAAAGTGGGTTACTATAATATATCCTGCTTTTTTAAAATTTATTTTTCCTTTAATTAAAAGGATAAAAATAAAAAGTAAATAATAAAATGGAGATTGAGATAAAAGAGGGCATAACAACTAAACAGTGTAGATCAAAACATAACATTTAAGCAAATTAGTGTTTCACCACAAGATAATCCTGACATAAAAGTAGTTACCATATTGTCTCTTTCCTTGAGATCTTTGAGTATAACTTCGTATACTATAGCATCAAATATATCAACACAATGTATAACCATTCAAGAGAATGACAGTATTACAGGATATTTAGAATCAACTAACAAATAATGAACTATGGTTTCTATATAATCTCCTTATTTATAAAAGTTTTTGTTTTTACTATCACATATAATAAAATCCAATAAGATACCACATGTTAAGACCTATGGAGACAAAAGAACAAAAGCTTGATGGGTCTTCAAAATAAGATGATACCAAATCAGCGCTACCTATTATGACGTTTTCTCCAAGATAGCTGTTCCTATCATCCAATCTTCTCTGCCTCATTTCTCTTGAGTCCTTTTTCTGTCATTAGTTGTCAGCTTGTCTTCATTCTGTTTTCTACTCCATTCATTGTGGCCTCTCTACCACTATTTCTGGATTCTTCGTATTTTTCTTTTTTAGAATATCCTGCAGTATTCTTTGTAGAGTTGAATTGGTGGTTGCATATTTCCCTAGTTCCTCTTTATCCTGAAAGCACCTTGTTTTTCCATCGATTTTCAGGGATAGTTTTGCAGGATATCTCAATCTTGGCTGGAGGTTATTATCTTTCAAAGCTTGAATTATTTCCCCCCACACTCTTCGTGATTTGATGGTTTGTGCCGAGAAGTCTGCTGTAATTCTGATGGGTGTTCCCTTGTAAGTGATTTGTTTCTTGTCTCTGACAGCTTTTAATATTCTGTTCTTATATTGGATTTCTGGAATTTTGATTATTATATGCCTGGGTGTATCTCTATTTGGGTTGTAGGTAGCTGGAGTCCTGTATGCCTCATATATCTGAGTATCTTTACCGTTTGTTAAATTAGGGAAATTCTCTTGGATTACTTCTGTGAATAGCTTTTGTAGTCCATTTGTTTGTGTCCCCACTTCTTCTCTTATGTTCTTAATTCTTAAGTTATCGATCCTCTTATCATCTTTTAGTTTTTGTATTGTTGCTGTTTGTTTTTTTGTTATTTTTAAGAAGTTTTTCATTTCATGCTCCCATATTACAAGTCTGCCCTCCAGTTCAGATAATCAGTCCTTAGTTTCTTTCAAGCTGTTATGCCAGTTTTCGATAGAGTTTTTAGTTTCTTGGTAATCTCTTTGAACCTGCTTCACATATTCTACGTGTTCTCTGTTCTCCATCAAATAATTCTCCCCTCTTTTTCTGTTCTTCCATTCCACCATCTGCTTTTTCTTGGGTGATGCTTAGCATTTCTCTGACTATTCGGCTTATGTCTTGCTTTAGGTCATTAATAACTTCATTCCTGAACTCGTCTATGAGGCTCTGGAGATAGCCTTTTATGTCTATTGGTGGCATGTCTGCTATTGCCTGCTTCTCAGGATTGGGGGCCGAGGAGCCTTTCTTGTTGCTTCCTCTTCCCATACTCTTTGTTCCTTATATATGCAAGCATATATAGGAGGCCCAGCTTCCTTTCCTGTCGGCCACTGTCTGACTGAATTGTGCCAGCTAGGTGTTCCTGCCCACCGCAGCACACCAGGGAGTTATGGACCAGGCAGTCTATGCGGGGCCCGCCCCTCCAGGTCACCTTCAGGTGCTGGGACCTGGGTTGTGCTAGCCTACTGGGTCTTAGCCAGCAGCGTCACGTAGGCTAGGCACTGCTCACCAGTCCCGCTTGAGAGGGAGATATGTGACTGAAGTCACTACAGCTCCCTGTTCCAGCAAGTCTGCCCGGTCCCAGAATGTCCTCTGTTGGCGCCTCCTAGACCATGGGAAAGTCCCAGTTTCCCTCACTCACCACAGGTCGATGCACGGCTCCCTGCCCGCCTAGCTCTTAACTCCCTTCACCGATTCCTGTTCTCAGCACTTTCGTGCGTCTCTCTGTCCCTGACGAGCCGATTCAGATGCAGCCACGGCGGCCGGAAACTCAAATTGCAGCTTTCAATGGCTTCCACACTCAGGCTTTATCCATTCCTGTTATAGCACCAGGATTGCATTCCCAGTTGGTATCTCTCAGCCCAGTTCGTTCTTGGGTCAGCAGGGCATATCTCTTCTTGGTTAGGATTCCTCCCTCCGCACCATTCCTGGATTCTAAGCTGGGTCTCGGAGAGAGCTATTCTCTGGATCTCTTCAATATGTTTTCTTAAAGAGCAATCTTTTTAATGGATGCCTCTAAATTCCCATGTCTAGGAAAGGAGAGAATAGGCTGCCAAACTTGACTCACTTATGCTGACAGCAAATAAAGACAGATAACTGAAATGCAGACTGACTTCTAAGTCTTAGTGATAGGAAAAGAAGGAAAATGAGGTAACACCTCAGGAGAGTAAATTAAAAATGACTTGAAACTTAAATTCTACCTTTCCTTAAATGGTCTGAAGAAACAGCATTAATAATTAGAAAGGATTTTGTCATAGAGTCAGAAGAATTCATTTGTGGTTGCATCATCATCATAGCAGCAATGGTGTGTGGCAGTTTAGAGGAGGACCCCTAAGTCAAATGGGAAATTATGTAAAAAAAAAACTTTTGTTAGCTAGGCTCCTATTAGTAGGTAGTATTGTTGAAAAAGGAAAATTAATTCCTTATGTCTCGTGTAATATAATTCAAGATAATTATTCTTGCTTAGAGTAATTCAGTACATGTTCATATTGATATTTAAATGAGTCTATCTAAACTGTTATTACTTGCACATGCTATACAGTAGAGAAGTGCACACATAGAGAAAGACCCAGAAGAAGAGAGACCACTGCTCCCTGTGTGTGACCTTGCACTGGCTTGCTGTTGTTTCTCCTTGGGGTTCTTGTAAAAGACCTAGTGGAGTGGGTGCTTGGGTTATGGTGATGACGGAGTGTCAGAGCAGAGCAAGATAAATGTTTTTAGGGAGAAGACTGCAAGTCCAAAATGACATCAGAAAGCCAAGTGGCCAAACCGGAAGTAAGGGACTTTGAGACAATAGGAGGGAGGTGTTATTTCTCATGGAAGACGTAAGTGTGGATTTGGTATTATTGAAAACATAGCAGTAGATGAATTAGCTTACTGAGGCATCAGTTTCATGAATGTAAAATTTAAATTCTAAAACTTCGTTTCAGTTAATTGAGAAGACTTTTGCCAGTGTCTTTTTCTTTCAGCTTACCCGCTGCTTGTTTTCTAGAGCTTGCCATGGTGGACTTTGAGATGTGTGAATATTCACCAGCAGTTGCTTGAGGAACGCTCCCCTCAGCTTTTTGCCCTTGCAGAACAGTGTATTGATCAAGGTATGTTACTGATTTTTCTTTGACAAGTAATAATGACTTTTTGTTTGAAGTTGTTTCTTTTGCTTTTTTTATGGTTGTGAAATATCACAATTCTTAGGTAACAGAGTATAGAATTCCTTTTGGTCTTTTATGTTTTTTTTTTTTTTTTTTTTTTGTCTTTTTCGTTTTTATCGGTACCAGGGATTGAACTCACGACCGCCTGCTTGCAAGGCAGGTGCTTATGCCGCTGAGCTAAATCCCCAGCCCCAGTCTTTTATGTTTTAAAAGCAGCAGTGTCTTTTATATTACCTATTTACCAAGGTGATTTGCTTTGTGTAGGTCACAATGATTTTATCACAAATTACTACAGGTATTTTAATATTTTCTCTTTTTTTAATCTAAGGAATTTCATCAAAAATAAATATAAACTTTATTTTTTAATGAAAGACCTAACTGCTGGGCATGATGGCACATGCCTGTAATCCCAGCACTTGGGAGGCTGAGGCATGAGGGTTGCCATGACTTTGAGGCCAACCTGGACTACATAGTGAGATCTTGTCTCAAAACAAAACAAACAAAACCCTAAAACCCTAACCATCTTGAACTTTAGTAAATTGTTCTATATTATATACAGAATGGGAAGTTATTTATCTTGTATTCTAAAAAGATTTTTTTTTTAATTTGGTAGAAAATATATTTTACTGAAGATGACAGTGGGTAGGGAGGCAGTTCTACTTTTATTTTTTTTTTTGCAATATATAATGTTAAACAGAAAAGTTCCTAAAATGTGAATTGAAAAATTTACCAAGTAATTATAAACTAAACATGTATATCTGCTTCCTGCTGCCTTTGTTGCATGTATCTACATTTCCTAGGGAAGCACTAAAAAAAAGAGAAGCTTGAATACCTTAATACTTGGTTTCCAGCATCTCTGGCCTTTTGGAATCATTTTTCTTGGCCAAACAAAATAAAAACAAAAACAAATTCTCTTGCAGTGAAGGAATATTTGGATCAACTTGGGTTTGGAATGAGTTTTTGAGTTATATAGTTGGAATTTGACTTTAGCGATGTCCCATTCCACCCATACATATCTAAGGAATGCTTATGTGTGTGGCCATGTGTATAAGGGGTGGAGACAGTGGCTAGCATCACTCTGGAAATGTGATCTGTATTTGAAGGTAGCAGGTTCATGTAGACGTAATGAAATGCGTGTGTCATTGCAAGAAGCTCCTGAACTTCCTGGGTTCTGTTTCCTTCAAGGGTTTATCTGTGTAATAACAAGCCAGGATAGAACACAAAGTGCGCACAGTAACTTGCACAGTAACATGACTAAGTTACATGATTAGTTGAAACTATTATCCCAATTTTTATTTTATTCTAGAAATTCATAGATGTATGCTAAGCTTAGATAAATATGACTACATGATTCAAAAAAAGAAATAAAAATATTAAACAACCAGTATAAAATTGATTCATTTTGTCCTTTGTGCCAGATCTTTATATTCTTTAAAGATTTTAGATAATATAAAGCTGTGGAACAAACACCAGAGCTGAAACATTATATATATTAAAAATTATTCTCCCTAGCTGGGTGTGGTGACTCATGCCTGTAATCCCAGCACTTGGGAGGCTGAGGAAGGAGGATTGTTGTGAGTTCAAGACCAGCCTGGGCTACAAAGTGAGCTCAAGGCCAGCCTGGACTGCATAGAGACCCTGTCTCAAAAAGACAAAAAAAAAAAAAAAAAAAAAAAAATTCTCCCTGCTTTAAGATAGGGGATTAATTCCATTAAATGTAAGGCCAAATGTGGTGGCGTGTGTCTGTAGTCCTAACTACTTAGGAGGCTGAGGCAGGTGGATTGCTTGAGCCCAACATAGTGATTCCTAGTGTCAAAAAAAAAAAAAAGCAAAAAATTGTTTTTCTAATAATATAATTTCTTAAATAACAGCTACAAACAATTTCTTTTTTGTTGAAATTTTTGGCTTAATGCTTTTGAGCTATAGAGTTATGAATGGTTGTAGCCTGCTGAACCATGTATAGCGACACTAATGCACCCACACTAGGTTGGGAGCTTCTTGACAGTGGAGTTTTAAAAATCTGTTTCCACTTAGAACACTAGGAAAAAAAAGTAAATGTTTATTTTATATTTGTTAAATAATAACAGCTAACATCTGTTGCACCTTTAGTTTATGTAACTGGGGAAAAAGTTATCACATTCCATCTAAAAAAGCAGTGTTGTTCAAATGTTGTGGTTTGTTTAAATGTCCCCCCAAACCCTCATGCCTCATGGGAGGTGAGCCGTTCTAGGGTGGCTGAGTCCGCTTGTGATTGGCTTGTTGTCTAGTACTGGGATTGATGGTGTGAGTCCTGCACTGCCCAAGGGCGGGTAACCTGGATACAATATAAGGGAGGGAAGAAGGTGTGCTTTCCCCTCTCCCCGTTACCCTTTTACCCTGTTTGCTACCGCCATGAGCAGTTGCCCCTAGCCACGCCACTCTGCCTTGGAGCCAGCTGAGTATGGACTAAAACCTCCAAAAACTGTAAGCTAAGTAAACCTTTCCTTGCTTACTTTTGTGTGTTAAATATTTTTTTTCAGCAATGAGAGAAAAGTAACCAGAACACTGGGAATATTTGTTCTCCATCTCAAGTGATTTTTGTCCAAGTTAGCTTCAAACAAGGGTTTTTTTAAAAATTGAGTTACAGGAAAATGGATTCTATTGAGATTCTGCATGGGACTTTGACTCTTTTTTGCTTAGGTATGGCATTCTCTGCACAATGAAAGATGAAGTAAATTGGGGAAAATTAATTCCCATTGTCGCACTTAGCTGACATGTTATTGTCTTCTTCCTGTTTATAGTGAAATGAAAACTGGGAACACTGTTTTCCCTTATTCATGCTATTACTTGTTTCTAAAGTGAACCAAGATACACTATATATAAACAGTGCAATGGAGTAAGCTGCTAGTTCATGAATTGGGTTAAGTTTTGAAAACCAGGGATAAATGTCTCTGATACTAGCAGAAACAAAGTTGATTTTTCAGAAAACAAGGAAATCATGTAGGAGAAGCTCTCATAAGGACTCAAGTCAATTGTTTAATTTTATAAACAAGTAGTTTCTTCACTAGGTCTGGTGGCATATGCCTGTAATTTCTAGCACTCTGAGGATGCAGAGTAAGGAAATCACAAGTTCAAACCATCAAAACAAAAAACAAAAAACAAAAACAAGTTCAAGCAGTCTGGACAGCTTAGCAACTTAATGAGACCCTATCTCAAAATAAAAGATAAAAAATGATCTGAGGGTATAGCTCAGTGTAAAGGCCTCGGGTTCAATGTCTTTTTCCCTCTTCCAAAAGTCGTAACAGCCTCCGTATACTACATAGGATATTATACAGTTGCCTATGATTCATTATACTTTTATATCAAATTGGTTTTTGATTTTTTTTTTTTTTTGGTGGTGCTGGGCATTGAACTCACAACCTTGTGCTTGCTAGGCAAGTGCTTGTGCTGCTGAGCTATATTCCTAGCCCACAAATTGGTTTTTGAACAAAAAGCAAGCTTTCCCTTGACATTTTTAAAATGTATCTGTTTATTTATTTTTAGAATTAGGTATTGAACTCACGACTTGCTCTTGCCAGGCAGGTGCTTATGCTGCTGAGCTAAATCCCCGGCCTCTTTGACATTTTTTTTTTAAAAAGGAAATCAAACTTGATACAAGCCCTATAAAGTTACATTTCTTCCTTTCCATGTTACCCTCCTAAAGTAAATCTGCATCTATGGCCATGTCTTTAGTGTATTTTTGTGGCTAATCTAACATTGACCCTTACATATTAAGAGAAGGAAAAAAATATATTATCCTTGTATTTTATTTTATTTTTTGTTTTTTTTTTAAGATAGGTTTTCACCATGTAGTCCAGGCTGTCCTTGAACTTACTCTGTAGTTCATTCAGGTTGGCCTCAAACTCCTGCCTGAGTTGAGATTACAGGAGTGAGCCACAATGCCCCTCTCATGTATGTTTTTAAAAGTTAGGAACCAGATGTTATATTTTAGGGAGAATTTTATTCTAAGAGTTAAAATGCACTTCTAAAATGAAAAAGGTTAATTTAGATGTCTGGAAAACATGACTCTAAGTGACTCATTCCCCAGGTGGCCTCAGTTCTTCTCTGCAATATATTTCAATGTACTGTTTGCTTTGCCCTGCAACTAAGAAGTTTTTATGTTGCTGCTCTAGACTAATCAACAACATTTTTCATTTTATCTAGTCATAAATTGGTGAGTAGACATAATTAGACATGTTGGCTGTGTCTAAGTCTGTAGATGGTATTAAAACTGTAATATTTCATAATCAGTTGTATTTTTTTAAGTGTTTTGTTCTGGAATTTGACCCAAATGTTGACCAGTCAGTTATAACTGAAATACTGTTCAATGTCCAGGAAAGGCTATTATATTTGAAATGTTGCCCTTGAAGGATCATTAAAAGGTTGGCAGGATTGTTTTCAGTCTATAAGTAGAGAATTTTGTGAGCAACTATGATCTTTATTTTTGTCCAAGAATGTTAGTTAACATCAGTGTAATATAATGAAATGGAGCATAGAGGAATGTCAGCATAACTCTGCAGGGCCAATCTCATCTATGAAAAGGGTAGGTTAGAATCTTAAAAAATATGTTTCTCAGCACAGTCTAATAGGGATGTCACACTACATGAAAACATAGTTCTCTAGAGACTATTTAAGGGTAGTCTGATCTGATACTGAACTTATTGTCTGACCTGATACTAAAAATGTATTCCATATAGTGCATGAAATGGAATATTGGGAGTTCAGCTATTTGGACATGAATTTATGAAGTCATTTTCTTTTTCTACTTTTTTTCTCTCTACTGTAGATTGAACCCAGGACCTTTTTGTCAGTGCTGGGCAAACATTCCCCCACTGAGCTACATCCCCAGCCCTCATGAAGTCATAGTCTAAGAGAAAACAGGTTAAGATGTTTTATCAGCAAGTTCCTCTGTGACATCTGTAGGCAGC